ATGGCCCTCTGGGGTTTGAAGAAAGGCCATCCCTGGAATAGAGGTACTACAGCTGGGGCAAATAAAATTATGGTGTGTGGGGGGTATATCAGGAAAACTGATCATCTTAAAAATGGAGAAGACAAGGATAGCTGCTACATTTAGTGCAAGACTATGTCATGTGAACTCATTCTGGCTTTATTTCAACTTGCAGAATGTCTATTTGAGCACATAGCAGTAGTTTTTAAAGAGAGAAAGGGGTACAAAGTGGCTCCCCACCTCCACAACTAGGCTCACTTACTGCTTTGTCCATGAGACTCCAGTCACCCTGAATTTCATCTGGAGAGTTTGCACAACACTGGTGCAGGTCTGGGTGTTTGAGCAACAGGGGCATGAAGGGAGAGAAAATATTCTCGTGACTTTTAGATGCTGCTTGAAAAAAGGTTACCTTTTAACATTGCAGTTGGCAGGCTCCTCCATCCAGAATGGCCTTTGGTCTGTCTCCTTAGGGGATTCTACATATGAGATATAGTGCCAAAAAAGTAACTTCTTTATCTTCTGTTATCTTTAAACTAGGCCTTCTCTTGGGACACAGCCTGACATGCGGAAATATAAGCAGCTTAATTTCTTCCTGGTCCAGACGAAACCCTTCCTGCATATATATTTTCATATAAGCCACAGCTAATGGAACAGGAACAGTTAAAAAGCTGTCAGCTCTAATTGCACCAACAAATTTATGAACAGCCCAGTTCCAGCATGTCCTGTACTTTAAGGGATGCGGGGGCAGGTAATTCTATATGCTCTGCAGCTCCTTATCTAATCAACCAGGGCTTTTGGAATCACACTGCAGAAGAATGTGGGCTATGGCAAACCCCATAGATTTGTGCAGGGGGAGGGCAGAAGGACAGAGGAAGAGAAAAAGGCAGGATGAAGGTTCCTTCTCACCTGACAACAGAAAGCGCTGACATAATCTAAGACAGAGAGTTAATCCACTGCCTCCTTAAGACACACCCAGACTGAGATGCACAATTGTGGAGGAATGAGCTATGTATGATTCATGGTAGAAAAGGTAAACAAAAAGTTCTGCGCAGTGTTGGTTAGCAACGCCTGTCTAAACATTTTATTAAACTATATCCCATCAACTTATTCAGTTGATTCTCATAGAAGAATAGTGAGAGACCACAAGGGCCATCCAGTCCAAACACTTGACATGCAGGAATACACAATCAAAGCACTTCCGACAGGTAGCCATCCATCAAGCCTCTGTTTGAAAACTTCCAAGGAAGGAGACTCCACCGCGCTCTGAGGCAGCATATCCCACTGTCAAACAGCTCTTACTCACAGGACGTTTTTCCTAATGCTTAGGAGGAATCTCTTTTTCTGTAGCTAGCATCCATTACTGCTTCCCCCTTCTTCTTTTGTTTAATTTTTTTTATTTCAAAATTTTATTAGTTTTAAAAAAACATATAACACAACATAAAAGACATACAAAACAACACGTAAACCAACACTACACACAATCATTATACAAATAAAAAGACTTCCTTGTTGGGCATATCTTGCCTTATTGCCTGTTTTCTTCGACTTCTATAACCATGAAATTATATTACCATATGCCAAACAGTATGATACCATTTCTATAATCTAGCATTTTGATGATCATATTATATACAGTGGATCTATTTATTACAGACTAACAGGAAAAAATTCTCTACAGTATACACTTTAGATCTGTCCTGTTGATTCTAACTGAAAAACTAAATTACTATCCTGAGTCCTATCTGATTCAGGTAGTTTATCACAACCTTCCAATCCTTCTTGAAAGCATCATAACTTAATCCCTTAATTAGACCAGTTAATCTGTCCATTTCCATAAAATCTATAATTTTCTTAAACCAGTCTTGAAGGGGTGGGATATCCTTTACTTTCCATTGAGAAGCATAAAGAAGTCTAGCGGCAGAAAGAAGATAAAATATTATTTTCCCGTGTTTTTTTCTCTAAATTTTCATCCATGATCATACCTAATAGAAATAATTGAGGATCCCCTTCTATGTGTCTATGTCTCTGTATTTTAAAACATTTCTGATCCATATGTAATTGTGTTGGGTATGTTGTCTTGAGCATGGAATTGCCGGTCTTTGAAATGGTCCCTCTAAGTGTCTCTTTAACAGGAGTCTGATCTGCAGCGATAAGCGGATTAAGCATGATGTCAATAAACACTTCACTGGCAGACCTCTGTATAGCAAACGCTCTTGTTAAAAGATGCACACGTAGGCCAAGCTGGTATTTTTCTTGCCACTTGGTAACCTTGTTTGGACACCTTTAGCCAGCTTGGCAGTAAAGAACTGAGATGAACAAATATGTTAAGAGAAACTATGGGCCTTTGCAGACTGCCAGAAATAGTGCAAATTGAGTCCACTTTAAGGGTTAGGGTTAGTGCTAGGGAGTCATGGGAATTGTTTTTGTTTTTTTCTGAGACACTGAGCCTTCTCTGTCAGAGAGCTCTGGTGCCACAATAAAATACAGTTCCCATGATTCCTTAATCCTAACCCTAACAGTGGACTCAATTTGCACTATTTCTAGCAGTCTGCAAAGGCCCATAGTAACAAAGATAAAGGTTGTACCTAATCTTTGGATCTGAATTCTCAAGCTGCTGCCACATTGCAGAATTAATGCAGTTTGATGCTGCTTTAACTGTCATGGCTCCGTCCAATGGAATTCTGGGGTTTGCAGTTTGTTGCAGCACAGAGAAGGCTAAATAGTTCACAAATTGACAAATCCCAGAATTCCATAGCATTGCAACCTCTGTTCCAGGTGTGGCTTTTCTCTTTCTTTCTTTTTACTCATAGGTTTGCTGTTACTTCAGCAATTAAAGGTATATCTGGTAACTCAGATCCTTAAATCAGGCCTACTTTGACCCTTCTCCCTGTCTGCCCCCAACATCCCAGTTCATTTCTTTCCACTGTCCTCAGCTTGTGCCCTGAGGAAATAAGAAAAGTGGAGCATTATGAATAAAATGAATGCACCACACAGTGTTTAATGATGGTGTGAAACATTAACTTCCAGCAGCCTGGTGCCAAGCTATCATGAGGTTATGAGAGCTCTTTCACAAGACCCAGTTATAGTACAGGTTGAGAGTCCTTATGCAAAATGCTTGGGACTAGAAATGTTTTGGATTTTGGATGGGACCCAAATCTATAAACACAAAATTAATTTATGTTTAATATACATTTTATACACATAGCCTGAAGGTAATTTCATATAATATTTTTAATAATGTTGTGAGGATGCAAAGTTTGTGTACACTGAACCATCAGATAGCAAAGGTTTCACTATCTCAGCCATGAAAAAGTTTTGGTTTTTGCAATATTTTGGAATTCCGGATAAGTGAGACTCAACCTATACTACGATTCTACTTTAACACCCATGGCAACATCCTGTAGACAGGGAACTGAATATATACAAAAACAACAGACTTGTTTCACTGACGGTGGAGCATGGGAGTCAACTCCCTTTGAAAATAATAGGACTTACTTCTGTAAACATGCGCACGAATGAAGCAGGCCATGCATTACTTCAGAAGCACTGTTTGAAGTTCCAATATGGTTGGGAAAAGGATTTAATACAAGACTTTTATAGTGGAATGGAGGTGGTTTAGCTTTGGCTTTGGCATGCAAGGAGTTTTTTTTTTTTTTTGCATGCTGCTGCTGCTGCTGTTCCATTCTCCTTCCTGTGTTTTTGCCACCAAAAATAAACTTTTAGCCCAGGTCACATTGCTGTTCTGGGCTATATACCTAAAGGTAAGGTCTAAAACACATTGCAGACACTGAGCCAGGGCAGTTAAACTGGTTTCAAACTGGATTATTTCTGCAGTATGTTTTGGACCTAAATCACAAATGTCTGTGATATATACAATGGGTCCTCCACATTTGCTGGAGTTAGGGGCACAGGATTCCCGTGAAAGTGGAAAAACTGCAAATAAGAAAATACTACTTTTTAAACCTGAGACACTACCTCTCTAGGAATCTCTATATCCTCCAGCACAAGTCTATGGTCAATATCTGCCAGAAATAGACCACTGAATCATGGTGGACCTAGAAATACCTAGAGAAGTGTTTTCTCTAGTAATCTCTAGATCAGGGGTAGACAACCTTTCCCCTTTAAGGGCCGAGGGACCTCAGCTCCCAGAATCCCAGGAGCTATTGGCCAACATGGGACTATTGGCCAACATGGCTGAGGCTTCTGGGAGCTGAAGTTCCTCGGCCCTTAAAGGGGACAGGTTGCCTACCCCTGCTCTAGATCCTCCACTGCAACTCTACGGTCAATTTCCATCAAAATTTCTCTGGAGGACCTAGGGATTCATAGAAAGAACATATTAAGCAAATCTGCAAATATTCGAAACTGAAAAAGTCAAAGCTGCAAATGTGAAGGGCCGACTATCTATCTATCTATCTATCTATCTATCTATCTATCTATCTATCATCTATCTATCTAACTGTTTTACAATTCACCAGGTGTTACTGATTTGAGTTTTGGATTCAGTAATACTCAAAAATCTAGGAATCAGTAACTTACATTTAAAAAAAGGTTAAAAGTATAATTACAAAAGGGAAAAAAAGCAGCAGCAAAAAAGAAGGGAAAAGGGAGAGTACATAGGCTATGAATGTAAACAAGATATATATCAATATAAGCCAACCAAATTCATTTTCCTGGAGTTGTTCATATGTGACCAAAGCAGTGAGATCTTCTCATCACTGAACAATAAGTGGAGAATGTTATCTTTCCATTCTTGGGAATACAAGTCTTTTGACAACAGCGAGAGTATGCAGGATCTAATCATGCTGACCATTAGTAAAATGACTTAATGTTTATTATATATTACAACATACAACTGATATCTATATATATATCTATAGATAGATAGATAGATTTTAACTTACATCCCATGTGTCAGGGATATAATTGAGAACATGTGCATCTAGAAGTATCAGAGTTTTCCAGTATAAAATCAATTGTGGAGAGCCAGAGTGGTGTAGTGGTTTGAGCATTGGATTGTGACTCTAGAGGCCAGGGTTCGATTCCCAGCTCAGCCATGAAACCCACTGGGAGACCTTGGCCAAGTCACATGCTCTCAGCCTCAGGGGAAGGCATGGCAAACCTCCTCTGAACAAATCTTGCTGAGAAAGCCCCATGATAGGTTTG